GGAGAGAGTTTGAGCAGCAACGAAGTCCCTGCGGGTTATGTCGAGGGGGAGGGGGGGATAAGGGGGTAGCTGTGTGAGAGGGGACGGGTTGAGAGGGCGTGTGAGTTGCGGCAATGTCCTTGCGAATTGTGTCAATCTTGTTTTTGAAGTGATTGGCAATCTCAAGGGCAGTGAGTGAGGTGCTGGGTGGAGGTGGGGGTGGAGAGAGTAGAGAGCTGAAGGCAGAGAAGAGTCGGCGAGGATTGGAGGAGAGGGTCCTTGATGAGATATTACTAACACACAGCATTGGCAGCATAGGCATACTTAGAATTACATCCTAAACAATCTTCCATTCCTCCCGAGTATGGCGATCCCACATGTCTAAGACTTTTCCACAGCCTAGGCACATAGAAAGGCCCAAATTCCAAGGAGCACCTTTAGACTTTCTAGGGTTATAAATTATGCATCTAATTTTCTGACTATCTATAAAATTTTTGGAGGCAGTGGAGCACCAGGTCAGGAGAAACACACACAAAATGACCACATTTTTAAAGCAATCACCCCAATATGAAAGGTACAGTGAGTATTTTGAAGACTTATTTTTATTGCCACAAGTTTATAGAAAATGTGAAATGAAAACTAAAATGTATTTTTTAAACAACACCCTTTGAATCTTTAAAAGTTGTCAGTTAATAAGATATTTGTAACGCATACTTAGATTTAACTCCCAAAACACATTCTGCTACTCCTCCCAAGTATGGCGATACTACATTTGAAACTTCTTCACAGCCTAGCCAAATAGAGAGGCCCCAAATCCAAAGAGCACCTTCAGGTGTTCTAGGGGCATAAATTACACATCTAAGTTCCTGACTGCCTATCACGTTTATGGACATTGTGACTGGCAGCATTTTTGGGGCACATAAACACATAAGGCTGGGGGAGTGGTAAAATGCCCCCCCAACTACTACCCCCTTTAGCTGCAGAAGCAGCAGTCAAGGATGTTACCATATGATGTCTGTGATGCTTTGCTCTGTAGTTATGGCAGGAATTATACCCTTGTTACTATTGGTTGGTGTAGCACCCACCGAATTCAGGTGAATGGTAGCTCTTGTAAAGATTCCAAGTGGTTAAAGCAGGAGTTGAGGAGGAGATACACTGCACATGTGAATGAGGCCTTATGATGATACTGGGATTGGTGTAGTGGTAATTGGATATTATCAAATCAGTCATTGTCTCTGATAACCGCCATAGCAGTACAATGTCACCATAGTGACAATGTACCTACTCTGGTGACAGAGACATGTAAAAAAAGAATATATATATTGTATATATATTTTTTTTTAGACAGCGGCTGGCTACACTGACATATAGGGGAAGATTTACTAAAACTGGTGCACTCAGAATTTGGTGCAGCTGTGCATGGTAGCCAATCAGCTTCTAATTTCAGCTTAATTAAGCTTTGACAATAAAACCTGGAAGCTGATTGGTTTTTATGCAGAACTGCACCAGATTTTGGACCATGCATTTTTAGTAAATACCCCCATAGTTTCCTCAGAGCAGCCAGCCATTGTACATGATCACTGCCACAGCAGTATGATGTCACCATAGTAACACTGCCCTTACTCTGGTGACAGTATTTTAAAAAAATATTCTTACAATAATGTAAAATAAATGGACAATCTTTGCCCAGAGGAGTAATTTAACACCCTGTAACAGATACCAAATGCAGGCATCCAGCAACAGCAGGGATGACCAGTTCAGTATAGGTGTGGAGCCTAATTAGTGGAATCTGTTGGCTGCTGGGAGACACCCCCTGGTAGCCACTGGAACTGCGCCCTTCAGCTCTGGGAACCTCAGTGCCACCGGCAGGTGGTTCAGGCCCTGCAACACCCTTTAAATTTTTAAAAGCTTCCTTACATACTCTAATGCATTTTGCCAAATGGCAACATGTTTTAAAAATTACCCAATTTTTCCCAAATTTCTTAGAAGCAAAAGCTTAGCTTTGCTCATCACTAAAGTCAATTATTCATCTTCTGATAAAGTGCTGTACTGTGATATATTGCATTTTATCTGCTTCCTTTTGAATGTTGGTCTATTTACCCTTTTGCTGGGTCATTTCATTACATCCTCTTATTTCTCTTTCTTTAATTGGCATAGTTTATTCCCTGACTTTTTATTTGTTCCTTATCTATACCCCCTAATTTTTACAATTGTTGCTTACTTTTTCTGTATCTATTTTTCCTCATTTTGTTGTTATCATTTTAATACCTATAATCAAGGTTTTAAATCTATTATCGTACTAGTAATGTTTTTTTTTTTCTATTATATACTTGTCTATTTTTACATTTTAAAGTCATTATTCATTTAGTCATTTTAGTCATTTTAAAATTGCTAATTTTGTTTGCATTGATATTACCTTTTTGTAATACCAATGTGATTTCTTTTCACTGAATATAAAACTTCCGTAATCATATTTATATTTCTTAATAACATTCTGCAATTTTGTTCTGGGATAGGATCTGAAATATCATTTCCTTTCATATCTATTTGGTTTACATCTTTGGTAAGCGGATGATAAAATAAACAGCTTTCACATTAATTCGGCTTTAGCTAATAGTCATTTGCTTTTTGTAGTTGAATAGGGGTTCATTTTTAATGTTTGCAAAATTACATATTACAAAACATCACATTAGTGTACACTTTTATGTGGTGTAACTATGCAGTGTAAGTTCTACGTGATGCTCTCTTAGTAACTGCACCTGGCTATTAGGTGAACCTTGTCCTATTACTTTCACTGTGGATCACATAATGGACCTGGTTTTCTAAGAGGTAATGCACAGGAGCAAGAAAAAAATGTTAGGAAGATAATTAATATGTTGGTGTTATGAGTTCACATGAGTAAACATGAACCCCTATCTGCTGAAGTGTACACTCATATCTAGTTTGTGGTCCATGTTTTCAATGTGCATTGAACAGCAAAATAATGTTTTCAAGTTTAATTAATAGTGAGTGTGTTAGGATTCTGAAAAATAGAAGAAAAAAAAATATTGTGACAAGCACTTGTAGCTCTGTTAGTACCGGGGCGGACTGACAACTTGTGGGGTCCCCGGGCAATAGGGGATCATGGGGCCCCTGTGTCCTTGCCCAAACTCAAAAAAGCCTGTGAAAAAGGTACCAGGGGCATCTCATGGGGCCCCCTACTGACCCTGGGCCCTTTTGACAGACATTTCTGCACTTTTTAAAATGTTGCCTATAGTTACACTTTAACACAAACATTTTAACTTTATTTAATAGCATAAAGTTCCCATAGAGCGAAAAGGGTACATTGAGCAACATATTTAGCTGTATCCATATGTAAAAAGAAGACCCAGTAATCATACAATAGACAGGCTGGCTATAACAATTACACTAGATATACTTCTCTTATACTATCCTTCTTTCATTAACAGCACCACAGCCAAGAGAGATGTCTGAAATGCATGTTTTATGAATGCAAGTAATTAAATGAAATAAGGCACATTTAATTTTTGTGCAGAACACATCACAAGGAATATAAATCACAAACTTGTTTCTGGTAAGCCACTGCAATCTACTGAATTAACGCTGCTTTAACAACACTCTGTAATTCTTCATTTTCTGCTAGAATTGAAAGATCATCACTCAGGGATAACTATCATTTACTGTAACCAATATCTGTAACTATCTATAAATGGATGTGTTTTTTTGAATGCCTTGTCATATGGTTGACATTCCAAATGACTTGAAGGATATTTGCCTACCCATTAGTGACATCTATTTGATGTTAAATCTTATAAAGGGTTGAAATGAAGGGGTTATGCCTACTCTTCAAAAGAGAGCTAAAAATGATATAAGGACCACTGCTCTGACAAGCTAGCCATATATTATTAAGCTCATTACGTACTCAAAAAGAATGTGAATTGACACATTACTCATTAATGCAAAATCAGTTGTGTGAACTTTTAAGTCCCAAAGTGGCATGGGCGGATATGCTTTAAAGATCTGCTGGGGGAGAATGAGCTTAAAAATATTCAACATGTATCACTGTTTATCTATAACTAACAAACTGTACCTAAAGTGAACCTCCACTTCCAAATATCAGATGGCATTATAGTAATCCTTCCTTTTCCTTAACATAAAACAGTGCCCCCCTTTTTGCTTCTCTATTTTTGGTAGAGTCCACTTCCTCCCTTTTTTCTCACCTACGCAAGAATTACATCATCCCTGCTCCAGCAGCCTTCATCAGATATTCCCTGAGGCATCAACTTTATAAGGGGTCCAGCCTGCCCAACCCTGAAAGAGACAGGTAGTACTGGATGATGTCAAGAAAGAAGATGAGTGGTGAATCATGGTGGGTGAGTATGTGAATTCAGGATGTCCCAATAAACCATGTGAGAAAGGATCAACAGCAAAATTAACTCTAGGGGGTGAAGTTACTGTTTTATAAAACAATAATTTCCAACTTGTATCAAGTTGTAACACCCTATGATAAAGGTTCAAATGTTTATGTTATCCAGCATCTTGCATTGTGATATAAATCAAAATCAATTGCACTTAGTGTAAAGAATGATAAACTTATATAGCAGCCCTCCAAACGCCCAATACTAGAGTAGTAAATATGTATACAATTTTTGTTGCACTGTCTCTTTAATATGTAAACCAAGTGTATGCTCAAATAAGTATATATATATATACCATATTTTCCAGGCGTATAAGGCGACTGGGTGTATAAGACGACCCCCTAATTTTCCAGTTAAAACATAGATTTAGGACTATACTCTTCGTATAAGACTACCCCCCTTCTGAGGCAACACCATTTAACCCCTAGCCTACAGGGCACTTATACCCACTTCCTCCCCATTCCAATTTTCAGCTTTCAGCGCTGTCACACTTTGAATGACAATTGCGCGGTCATGCAACACTGTACCCATATGAAATAGGTGGCACTGGTGGGCACTGATGAGGAGGCACTGATAGGTGGCACTGATGGGCATTGACAGGCATCACTGATGGGCACTGAAAGGCAGCACTGATACATGGCACTGATAGGTGGCACTGACTGGCACTGTTAGGTGGCACTGACTGGCACTGATGCGCACTGATAGGTGGCACTGACTGGCACTAATAGGTGGCACTGACTGGCACTGATTGGCAGCACTGATGGGCATTGACAGGCATCACTGATGGGCACTGAAAGGCAGCACTGATACATGGCACTGATAGGTGGCACTGACTGGCACTAATAGGTGGCACTGATTGGCAGCACTGATAGGTGGCACTGATGGGTGACACTGAAAGGCAGCTCAGATGGGCACTGATATGTGGCATTGATGTGGCAATGATGGACACTGACAGCTGGCACAGCCGCGCATGCGCAGAGAATGCGCAGAGAATGGGAGGACGTCATATGAGCCAATCACGGCAAGTGATGTATTCTATTAATGAATACAGAGCCTGCTCGGATTGGCTGCGTCAGAGAGGCGGGCTGATGATGTCACAACTTCAGCCAATCCGAGCAGGCTCTGTATTCATTAATAGAATACATCGCTCGACGTGATTGGCTCAGCGCGGTACACTGTATGTAGCTGAAGCTACCATACAATATTACCGCACATCCAGCGTTCTATACCCGGCGTATAAGACGACCCCCAATTGGGGTAAGTTTTTAAGTAAAAAAAAAGTCGTCTTATACGCCGGAAAATACGGGGTATATATATATATATATATATATATATATATACAGTGGGTAAAATAATTATTTGATCCCCTGCAAATTTTGTAAGTTTGCCCACTTGCAAAGAAAGTCTATCATTTTTATCATAGGTGTATTTTAAATGATAAAGACAATATCAACCAAAAATCCAGAAAAAGACACGATACAAATGTTATAAATTCAGTTGCAGTTCAGTGAGCAAAATATGTGTTTGATCAACCAGCCAACAATAATTGTGGCTCCCACAGACTGGCTTTGTGCTCATGTGGTACACAGATTAGTCCTGTCAATTTAAGAAGGTGCTCCTAATGACAACTCATTATGTGTATAAAAGACACCTGTCCACGGAATCTTTCTTGAGCACCACCATGGACAAGATCATAGATCTGTCAAAGGACGTCAGGGACAAGATTGTAGACCTGCACAAGGATAGAATGGGCTACAAGACCATCAGCAAGAAGCTTGGTGAGAAGGAGACAACTGTTGGAGCAATTATTCGCAAATGGAAAAAATACAAAATAACCATCAATCGCCCTCGGTCTGGATCTCCACACAGGATTTCGCCTCATGGGGGAAGGATGATCATGAGAAAAGTTTGTAATCAGCCCAGAACTACACAAAAGGAACTTGTGAATGATCTCAAGGCAGTTGGGACCACAGTCACCAAACAAACCATTGGTAACACAAAATGTCGCCATTGATTGAAATCCTGCAGCACCAGGAAGGTCCCCCTCATCAAGAAGGCACATGTACAGACCCATCTGAAGTTTGCTAATGAACACCTAAGTGATTCAGAAAAGGTTTGAGAAAAAGTACTGTGGTCAAATGAGACCAAAATTGAGCTCTTTGGCATTAACTTGACTCACCGTATTTGGAGGAAGGAAAATGCTGACTATGACCCTAAGAACACCATCTTTACAGTCAAGCACAGAGGTGGAAACATTATGCTTTGGGGCTGTTTCTCTGTACAGCTACAGGCCGACTTTGCTGCATTGAGGGCCAATGGACGGGGCCATAAATTGTAAAATCTTGGATGAGAACCTTCTTCCCTCAGCCAGAACACTGACGATGGGTCGTGGATGGGTCTTCCAGCTTGGCAATGACCCGAAACATACCGCCAAGGCAACAAAGGAGTGGCTCAAGAAGAAGCACATTAAAGTCATGGAGAGGCCTAGCCAGTCTCCGGACCTTAATCCTATAGAAAATTTATGGAGGGAGCTAAAACTTCGAGTTGCCAAGCGACAGCCAAGAAACCTTAAGGATTGGTAAAGAAGAGTGGACCAAAATCCCTCCTGAGATGTGTGCAAACCTGGTAACCAACTACAAGAAATGTCTTACTTCTGTGCTTGCCAGCACTAAGTTATGTTTTGGTTGGGGATCAAATACGTATTATACTCACTGAACTGCAACTCAATTTATAACATTTAAAATGTATCATGTGTTTTTTCTGGATTTTTTGTTGATATTCTGTCTCTATCAATTTAAAATACACCTATGATAATATGATATGATATATATACACCCAAAAGTGCAAAAATCATAAATATATGACATAAAATTCTACCATACAGTCCATCAACCAAGATGTGTGTCAGGGTTCCCGGCGGCTCGGTGATGCGCGCATGCGCAGATCGCCGACTCATCCTAGCTGGCATGCACTGAGTCTTAGGCGATCGCGGCGGCGGCGGCGCATGCGCACTCGCGATTGCGGACACACCAATGAGAGCACAGGGCGCCCTATTTAAACCAGCCCTGTGCATCTCCAAATCACCTTATGGTCTTGTTCCCTGTTCCTGTGTTCCTGATTACTCCTGTGTTCCTGATTACCTTGTTGCCGACCCAGCCTGTTCCTGATACTGCTGTCTTCTCCTGCTCTGACCCCTGGGTCGTCCTGACTACTCTCTGCCTGATCCTGATTGCCTGACCTCCTGTTACTGAACCCGGCTTGTGACCTGTTATTCTTTTGCCTACTGCTCTGTACTGCTTGCTCCGCTGTTGCCAACCCGGCCTGTCTGACCACACATACCTCTTCACATCTGGCTCTTACCTGCTCCACGCCATTGGCATCCGCCTCTACCACAGCCGGTGTTTCTTGGGGGTCGCGACCTGGTCTCAGGCTGCTTCAAGTCCATCCCCACCATCAGGGGCTCTGGTGAACCAGCAGACTGAGGCTTAGACTCCACGCCTGAGGGACTCCGGCCAGTGGACTGCTAGAGGCTACCGCCAATTGGCTGCTGACAATATGTATAAAATGATTACAAAACTCCTTGTGTCTCCCCAGATGAGTTCCATCACTGTGACACTTTGCTTATTACTTATTATTGGCTACAACTATTTAAAAGCAAGTAACACTGCTTGACCCTATCCAGCTGCAAGGATCCTTTTCCAGCCACTTACTGATAAACAATGGAAAAGATTACTAGAGAGAAATCAAGACTTAGTGGCTCTGGCAAATTAAACACAGTAATGACAGTCTGCAACATTCCACTGGTAGTCTGCAGTGATGGTTGTAGTATACAGGCAGAATTCAAATGTCAAAATATCTTTGAAGAGTTTTTACTGAGATAACTGAATGGGAGAAGGTCCAAATGATGATTATTGGAGGTGCTCAGTACCCGGCATTAATTAGGATATTGACTCTCAAAAATAGCTTACTGTGTCCATGATTATCAACATTTTTCTTGCTCATAGGATGCTAGCTACAGTATAAAATGAGTATCTCCAGCCCCCCACTCTAGACAAGTGGATGTGTGAGCTGTATTGCTTTTGAATGACATTGCTATTTACTCCATAAAGGAATGCACACATTTGAACTGACATTTTCCTGCTGGGTAAATAGTACAAGTGTTGTTTCTATGTACTTTTTAATAAAAAAAAACCTGCCTTAAAAAATTCTGATTTAAAACTATATATATATACAGTATATATATATATATATATATATATATATATTGGAACACGTTGTTATCAGAGAGAACAGTTACATGGGATGCAAGAAACATTCACTTGTTGCCTTTTTAAATAACTTATTTTAATTTGAAATATAGTAGTTTTGGCTTATAAAACTAACTTTATCTAATCATGACTAACCCAGTATAACCCAGCCCATAATTAAGACTAAGCAATAAATATTTGCACTGACCTTCATCACACACTGTGAAAATTGTTCCCATCCACTTTCTGATTAGAGGTCTTTTGGATAAGTATAACTGAATTATTGATTGCAACAAATATTCAGATTATGGGTCCTGTGTCTATGGGCCATCTGTTTCTGACTTTCAATAAAAAAACTACCACTCAATGGTTATCTTTATAATAAGGTCAGCAATTGCATCTCTGTACTTCTCTCAGTACAGGTTTCTTTTAAGAAGGGTATTGGAAATTGACAAATATGTTTTTTTTTTAGGAAACAGTATATAACTACAGGAAACAGATTATACAGGGCTATGGGAATTGTTAGAGAATAAAAATCACACACACATCCATATATAGGTTGAACTGGATGGGTCTGTGTCTTTTTTCAAAACTACATAACTATAGCTAATTTTTGACAATGTAAAAGCCAATTTCAAGTTTAATGGAAAGTTTTTAGTGGAACTTCCCTTAAAAAAAAATACTTTTACCCTCTCCATGCTCCAACATTGCCCAACACACCTCATCCATGTTACAGTGCCAGTCCACTTCATATGAGTTCAAGGCATAAGAGCCTCATTCCATGGGGGTCTGATCACAGTGCCCAACACTTGGTGTAAAAAATAGTGCTGTGTTTCAGCTGGAATACCATATTCTGACACATTTTGGATTGACCATTGCTAAATGACAAAAGAGAAGGAAATGACTCCTGCTTGTCACAAGGCCAGAACAGGGAAAAAAAGGGGGAAGTGGGGAACAATTGTCTTCCAAGACTGGAATTGAGCTTTAAACTGCCAAAGGTCATTCAGGGCAGGGTTAACATACTTCCTTGTCTGTACATTTTACTGCGGGCTTTACAAATCACTTTACAAATCACTTGAATTATGTTTGAAGTGTTATATAATTGCATGTGTGTCCTAGTGTTGAGCTGCACTTAGGATTCTTTCATGTTTTATTACCTTTGTATAATATTGGATACATTTGTATACACTGGATAATGGTATGTCTTACTCAGCTGTGTGCAATTGAAGGTAAGTAGGTTAACAGGCTAACACTATTATAGTTGGAAAGATGCTAGCAACCCTCTTTATAACCCTGTTATTTCAGCCTCATATAAAACTTTCTTTTTCACCCATATTCAATTGTGCAATGTATTTCTTTTCTATTTTAAGGAATAAATACTGTAATCTCTTTCTGCATTGTCTGATTGCAAGAGATCCCATATGTAATAAAACTGCTCACCTAACCTTTCCTTCATCATAATTAACTGCTACTGTCTGTCATATTCAGTGCCTTTTTTATATGATACCAATTTAGCTGCTGCGGAGACTATTTCTAGCTACGGTATGTTTTCTTATGTGTAATGTTTCCACTGTGTACAATATATAAGTCATCAAGATCATACAACTTTTTTTGCACAGCAAATTGTGCAGTAGCTTATCTATTGCTTCTGAGCTCCAGATGCCTTTGACAAGATCATGGGCCTAAAGTGACAACATCACACTGTGACTTGATGGGTGAGGACATCAAGATAGCTTACACACACACACACACACACACACACACACACATATATATATATATATATAATATATATAAAAATAGGGTTCCAATATTTAATTCTCATACCAACTCACAATAATTGTGCGGTCGCTATAAACCTCATTTCAGTAGTTTACACG